CTCTCATAGATCTCGGTAATTGATATGCATGCTGAAAATTTTATCGCAACCGGTTCCCGTTGTTATGGGTTACAACGAATTGAAGATGACAAAAATCGCAATTTTATCAGGATTTTCACCAAAAACTGGTAGAAATCTGCAGTTTTTTATATCTTTCAACGCCTGTAGTTCGACTCTGTGTTAACCGATTTCGATCAAATTTTCCACACGCATACAAGTTACCGAGACCTACGGAAGGCATTTTTTAAACTTTTGTTATAGGCTCGGATAAAAAAGTTGAAGGAAACTACAGTCTTTTATTTATTTCTTTTTTCGTCATCCTAAATAATAGCAAAATTTGAAAAAGTCATTTCAATATTATCGTCTAGTAGATTACTTCCTCTATCATCTAAAAAAAAATTCAAGTCGTTTAATTGAGTTTTAAAAAAGTTAATACGTTTTAGAAGGTGTACGAACACTTTTGTGGGCCACTGTAGGTCTCCGAACGAAACGGAAACGAGCGCGAGACGTTTACGAAGTTCTTCATTCTTCTCTGTGGTGAATTGTTCGTATACTGCCAATTTTTATAGGACACCGAATGATTCTAACTTCGACACACTACAATTAACACACACACACACACGCCCGCGCGCGCAAATACATACACACATGGTCACCGACAGTTCAATATCTCTCAGTGTAAATCCGAGTGTGCAAACAAGTAATTCACGAACCAACTTGCTCGACGTTGGGTTAATCGTTCACACTTCGACAATTGTTCTTCGGGAGTTTTCCTCAAGAACTGAGAGGAGACGACAAAGGAACATGGATCTCGAATCCCGGATGTGCCTGGAACCTCGTTTGCCGGTCAACGCGTTTACCACTTCTCGTTAAAGTTGACTCGATCCGAATGTTTTCACGTTTTAGTAACGCGTAGCAAAAAGAGAGAAAGAGAGAGAATTTCAGGCGTTATTCTTAACCACTTGCGCTGGCAAAAAATTCACCGACGCGTGTACCAGAACGGTCCAGTGTAACTTGTTGGGAGGCGTCACAGAAATCGGAAAAAGATTTATATTTTCTAAACTAATTTATTTTCCATTTTAGAATATGGGTTAAATATTGACAATTGTGCGCTATGCTGTGCAATGATAATTTGTGCTCTGGCAAACAATCCCACCCGACGTGCCATGCACGTCGATTGTTTCTGTGACAGTCGCATGACGACGTACATACCACGTTGTTGGCGATTCTGTGACAAAAGCATTACGACGTGCGTGGCACGTCTTTCCAGCGCAGTGGTTAAACATCCCTCTTCACTTCATTCACAAACACGAAGAAACAATTACGAGCAACGAGGCTCCTGTACAATTTATGTATATCGAACGCATCATTCGACCGCGAATCTTTATGCATTCGCCGACACCGAAGACGTTCGACACTTCGGCTGCCGCTACGAAAACCTTGAGATATTATCAAATTGGCGTGTTTTATTCGATCAAAGTGAAATCTGAGCTGTGCGACATCGATTAATTTTCCAACGTTCTTACGTTCCGTTGATCTTTATAGAATTAGGTAGACACTTTATACTAGATTAGCGTAAAAATTAATTTTCCGTTCCGAGCAAACAACGCCGCCACCCACGCACGGGGTCAGACGGGTCGGTCGAAGTGTTAAAATACAAGAAACAATGTATAAACATATTTTATCTTACGGAGATACTTTCGTTCTGTTTCACTGTTCACGAAATTGAACGTCGTACCGCGGGCTCGCATAAAGATCCGCAAGCTGCATGTTTCAGAACGGCGGAGATAAATTATTCATTTGCACTCGACCGGATTCCCACGTTTTCGTAGGGGAACAGAGAGGTTCGTTCACTGGCAATTCCGATTTTCGTTATCAATGAGCGAACGTACGGTTACGAAGAGAGGTGAGACGAGGCGATAGCGATTGAAAGGGTCGAACTATGGTCGAAAGTTCCGGCGGAAACGCGTAGCCGAGCCGCCGAAGGGCGTCGAAGAGGCTCCCCAGGACTGTTGACTTCTAACTGCTGTATAGAAACGTATTAAACTTTCGTAGGAGAAAGGAGGCTGAGCTTTACAGGAAGTATTTGCACAATCACGATAGACGTCGAAACGCAAAGTCATTTCAACATCGACTCTACCCCCGATTCCCAACCCCGTAAACCCCCCCACTCCTCGTCCCAACAACCCAAATCTTTGTTAGATGTATTTCGAGAAATCTCTGATATGTATACAATTATATGTATATACATATATACATCTCTCTCTATATATATGTATATATACATATACCGATTGGTAAAACAAAAGCTTCTTGTAAACATTTACGGATAACTCGTATAAATTTCTTCACCTTGTGAATACGTACAAGGTAATCACCACCATAAACCACCACCACCACCACCCCTCCCCCCGTTTACGAAACGTTGAGCATTTTGTAAAGTTTTATAAATAGTTCTATGTAGTTGAACAGCTGGACCAATAAAACGTATATCCGATTGTACGTGTCAATTATTTTGACTTTTCTTGTCCCGGCGCTCTCCGCTGTACTCGGCGAAACTGTAACTTGACTTGGAGAAGAATGAAACTGGGTCGATTCACTGGAGGATTTAACGGAGTTCTTTCGCTTTATCGTGGATCGTGATGAAAATATGATTGTACAGTTAACAGGAATTGCGTAACCTGCGGTAACCGGATTTAGCAAACAACAAACTGGATCAATGGGTTTGAAGATCTGGCTGAAATGTTAACTCGATTTGGCAAACGATAAAACTGAATCTACCATTTGGAGATCCACGGGATCTCTTTTATTTTGTCGTTACCTACCGAAAGAAATACTGTTGTACGATTAATAAAAATTGTGATCCCGAGAAGTTTTGCAGCAAAAAGAATCTACACCGTCTACTGTGCTCGACAATTGTGCATTTATCAAATAATAAAAACTGGACATATCTCCCACGGAGATCCGCAAGATCTCTGTTACCTTCATCGTTAATTATGAATTAAATATAATTGTAGAGTTAATTATTATTTGTTTCGTCGCTGGACACGAATTAAACACGAGAGTTCCTTTATTTATAAGATATTATTTCTAAGATTTTTATATTATATCGTTTATAAGAGTCCCTTTATTTTCTCGTTAACCATGAATTAAACATGATTGCAGAATTGCTACGAATTTCTTTATTTGATCGCTGACCATGAATTAAGCATGACTGTATAGTTTAATAAAGACCGTAGTTTTGGCAAAAATTTTGCGCCGAGCGACCGACGACGAGTCTGGGAAAGGAAGCGGTTTTCGACGAAGTCGCGAATTTCGGACGCGTTCCGCTTCCGGCGTCGGTTGGAATTTCGCGAATCTGCATCGCCGACTCGAACAATGGCCGCAACAAGGGAATAAAACAATAACGTGCCGGACGCGCACTTGATAAAAAAAAAGAAGGGCAACACGTTGCTTCGGGGAAGGAAATACATACACCGCGCAACAAATGCTGGGGCTCCGCAAGCCGCGCCGCACATCGTCGCCACGAAATTCGCTGAAAAGCGAGAAAGTAAAAACAAAAAGGGCGAAGCAGCGAAGGTGGGGGAGAGACGAAGGAAAGTGCCAGAGAGAAGGAAGCAGGGAAACAAACTTGGCCGGAACAACGGTACCTTTTATTCTTTCCTCTGCGCCGTGCTTTTGTATCCGGGCGCGCGGCTATGCTGCTCTCTTTGTGCCCCCGTGTAAGTAAACGGTAGGAGATTTCAAATTGCAAACTTTCTTAACGAAAAAGTTTCGCGGAACAGACGTGAAATGTAGTCCGCCACTCGCGTTTCAATCCTGAGGAATAAGCACTTGTGCCTGCGGAGCTGCGTACGTACACAATTCAGTCTATTCCAACGTTATGAATACATTATGCAGAAGCGTGAAACAGTTTTTAATGAATCCCAGCTCACCTTAACACATTTCGGACGGTTTCGGTTGACTTCTGTTCGTTCCAAGATGGACATTTATTTTTTGCTCTGGCAAGGTAGTTATCTTATAAATCGACTGGATTGATATTGCCTATTATGAGACAGGAACTCGGGAAGAGAAAGGTCTAGAGAACACGTCTTAGAGGCAAATGACTAAAAATGTCGTGTCATGTTGGAAAATAATTTTTACATTATCGAGTTTGTTGAGATTTCTTAAAAATCCGTTAAAAGTGGAATAAAACGGAAATACCGTAAATCGGACAAAATATTTTGGATTTGGAGTTAGAATGGCTTCTAGCGCAAAGGGCTAAAAAGGGTTCCAGAAAGATATGGATCTAGGAAAAAACTTCATAAAGAATCTAAGAAGGAAAAGTATGTAGAAAAATAGCTAAGAAAGCGGGCGATCTAAAACAGAGTTTGAAAAAGAGAAGGATGTATAGAAAGGTTTGGAAGAAAAAATCTAAAGAAAGATCCGTTAACTTTATGTTACAAAAACAATTATAAAAGTAATGTAATATTTCAAACATTCTGCAATTTATTCTCTGTTAATGTGGACATAAAATTATAACAGTGAGATTCCCTCTTCCTGTTCTCCAAGCTGTTGGTTCTTAATTGTGAGCACAAATCATTTAAACAGTTAAAGCAGCAGTGCAAGAGTGATTCTTGCCATTTTTACCATAAGATAATATGCACATTGTGGCACGAATCATCCTCTTAAGATAGCGCCATTTGTGACAAGTGGCGTCGCTTGTTACAGAAATTCGAACTAAAGTTATTTTTGGAGTAGTGGCAAAACATCCAAACTGTTAGCCAATATCGATTGCCGGTAATTTGGCTAACAGTTCGAGCGTTTTGCCATTACTCCAATTAGCGTTGTACGGACATCGAACGCAGCTTCATTTTTTCTCCAAAAGAGAACGCAAAGTCGCCGAAAAAAAAAATTATGTATGGATTGAGGCATGAAAAACTAAACCAAAGGTACGGAATTATTTAGGAGAATCTGCTGCATTGATATATGCACATACTATATAGAATGCCCCATAGAAATCCATGTTGACTAAATAAACTTTATTTAATGAACTGAATATTGCTGAAAAAAATCATTTTTAGCATGCTATTTGTCCGTGAATATCTTTTAACTTTTGCGAGCTTAAATTAAGATACAATAATTAATATCGAAAGAGGTTTTATGGTTTATTGAAAAAATGTTTATTTCGATGAGATTGATATATATATATGTATATATATATATTTATATATGACATTCTCATTCGCACAGATAACTATATTGTACATAGTACGATACAGTCTCCTACAGGCAGTAACAGATGCAAGTAACTTCGTCATTTTACAAACAATCACTCTAATTCACACGTACACGCTGCGTATTTGTAACGTGAGTTACATAACTGTATTTATTCGATTATATATTTGTATATGTAATAGAACATACAAAAGAATTGAGTAAAATAAATTAACGCGCATAGTCTTGATCGGGAATCAAAGAAGCTACTCTCTCGATAGTAAAAATCCTTTCATTAAGTGTGCCTTCCTTTCTCTTACGTAGAAGACTGTTATGTTACGTGGCAAAACACATTATAGGGCCAATACACAGTGTGTGAACGTCACGGAACCGTGTACCGTTTCATTCCAATGCAACATAATAAGTAACGAACGTTCGTCGATCAGTCTTTCACTTAAATACTCGACGTATCAACGACGTGGGTGTATCTCTGCCGCATTCGCGTAAGAGACTGGCGGAAATTCAGTCTAAATTAGGACGACTCTGTGTACGGATTAATTTCTAGTTAAAGCTCGTCCTTTAAATCATCCTCATCACCACCGGTTGGTGGAATACCACCACCAGGCTCTTGATACAATTTAACAATGATTGGCTGAACGATATCGCTGAGTTCCTTCTTCTGTTTCTTGTATTCTTCCGGATCGGTGTCCTGGTTGTCTTCTAACCACTTAATTTTCTCTTCGATGGCTTCCTCCATTTTTGCCTTTTCCGCATCGGTGACCTTCGATCCAAGCTTCTCTTTGTCGGTCAATTGATTCTTTAGGGAATAAGCGTACGATTCGAGTTCATTACGCGCTTCCACTCGCTCCTTCAATTTCTTATCGTCGGCTGCGAATTTCTCAGCGTCCGAGATCATTCTCTCGATATCGTCGGGTGTCAGCCTGTTCTGGTCGTTGGTGATGACGATCTTTTCGCGGTTCCCGGTTCCTTTGTCTTCAGCGGACACTTGGAGAATACCATTAGCATCGATCTCGAACGTGACCTCAATTTGTGGAATTCCTCGTGGTGCTGGTGGAATTCCGGTCAGGTCGAATTTACCGAGAAGATGGTTATCTTTCGTCATTGGACGTTCACCTTCATATACTTGAATGGTCACTGTGTGCTGGTGATCGGATGCGGTAGAGAAAATTTGAGACTTCTTGGTTGGAATTACGGTATTTCTATAGTAACAACAAAATAGAATGTTATGGATTAATATTTGGGATCACGAAGAAAATTATTGAAAAAAAACCAATGTAAATGGGGAACGTATTTTTACCTAGGAATAAGTTTGGTCATTACACCACCGACGGTTTCAATACCCATGGTAAGTGGGTTCACATCCAGCAGTACAATGGCATCTGTGTCTTGTTCTCCGGATAGTACTCCAGCCTGAACTGCAGCACCATATGCAACAGCTTCGTCGGGATTAATACCCCGAGATGGTTCTTTGCCGCCAAAGAATTCCTTGACTAATTGTTGAACTTTGGGAATTCTGGTAGATCCACCAACAAGTACAATTTCATCGACATCCTTTTTGTGCATATCAGAGTCTACTAAAACCTTCTGTACAGGTTTCAAAGTGCTTCGGAACAGATCCATATTCAATTCTTCAAATTTGGCACGGGTTAACGTCTCGGAGAAGTCTTCGCCCTCGAAGAACGACTCAATCTCAATCCTTACCTATAAAATGATAAACATGCACTACAATTAGTATCTATGTCTATTTTACGTGAATCAATTGTACAGAGAAATTTTTTCATACTTGGTGACTAGCACTAAGAGCTCTCTTAGCCTTCTCAACTTCACGACGTAATTTCTGCAATGCTCTACTGTCCTTGCGAATATCTTTGCCTTTCTTCTTCTTGTATAGTTTGGTGAAATGATCCATTACACGTTGATCGAAATCTTCGCCACCCAAGTGAGTGTCTCCATTTGTTGCCACTACTTCGAATACTCCATTATCGATTGTAAGCAAACTGACATCAAAGGTACCACCACCCAAATCAAAGACCAAAATGTTCTTTTCTCCATCTTTTTTGTCCAAACCATAAGCGATCGCAGCTGCTGTAGGTTCATTAATGATTCTCATAACAACAAGTCCTGAGATAGTGCCTGCATCTTTGGTAGCCTAAATAAAAATAATTGCTAATTTAGAACAAGTTATATCTATATTTTAGTTCTCTATCTAATTATCAATCTGAACTTATGTCTATAGTTGACAGCAGTTTATAGTTTTTGCTTACTTGTCTCTGAGCATCGTTGAAGTAAGCTGGTACAGTAACGACTGCATGAGTAACTTTTTTGCCCAAATACGCCTCTGCTGTTTCCTTCATTTTACCAAGAACCATGGCAGAGATTTCTTCGGGAGCAAAGATTTTATCTTCGCCATTGACAGACACTCTTATATATGGTTTGCTGTTCTTTTCAATTACTTTAAATGGGAAGAACTTGATGTCATGCTGTACAGTAGATTCTGACCACTCCCTACCAATCAACCGTTTGGCATCAAAGACTGTATTTTCTGGATTTGTGGTCAATTGATTCTTTGCAGCATCTCCAATTAGACGTTCACCATCAGCAGTGAACGCTACATATGAAGGTGTGATTCTGTTTCCTTGATCATTAGCTATAATTTCTGCTCTCCCATTTTTATATACACCGACACTGAAATAAGTAAATATTTGATAAAAATATCTTCTTCCATATTACTAAGAGCCATTCTGTGACGAATAATATTTTGTCATATACCAAGAATAAGTTGTGCCCAAGTCAATTCCAATGACAGTTCCAATATCTTCCTTCTGCTTCTCTTCCTTCGTAGAAGAAAGGGCTATTAAGCCCAACAAAATTAGAGCTTTAGCTCCTTTCATTCTTCTTTAAATAAAGACTGTCCTGTAAAACATATGTCAAATATTATGTGTCATTCACTGAATGAGAAAAATTTTAAAATATCAAATGAAAAAATGTTTAACTACACGATAAATTTATTACGTTAACGCTAAATCATGCTGATAAGAACGATAGTTCCAATTTAAATAATCGGTTAACGGCATACCAAATTCCGACAAGCATGCAATTCGATATGTATAGCGTTGTGCGGTACACACTGACAAATACTTCACAAAAACTATCACAAAATTCTGCAATTGTTAGGAAAATTGTATGTATGGTAAAAATAGTGGCAAAGAAAAGAAAATTTCTATTCTGATCAAACGTGCTTGGAACGTATACACTTTTCTAGCGAGACGTGGCAAGTTTAGTATCCTCGTATACTCAACGGTCGATGAAATCTTTCAAATACGAACATTGGCAATATATCGGCATTATTAAAATTAAGTGAACTTTCATTCGATGCTTACCACTTCGAAAATTAAGTGTGCGCTTAGTTTCTTCTCTTTTGAGTAAAAAATCTCTCCAATTCGATATAACTTGAATGAATAACAAGGAGTAACTGACTACAAACCGATTCCGTGCCGGGATATTAACGAAAAGATTTCGTCGTGGCCTCTCTCGATTGGTCTGGGTGAATCCGCATCAGTGGAAACACCAACGTTGATTGGTCCACATGCTTACAGTTGGCTAGCATCGATAGGCCCACGTCACAACGGTGTTGTACTTCTGGAAATTTCGAGTACAATCTACATTTGTCATTGGGTAGATTGTTGTTGGATCAAAACTCACGCAACATAAAAGGATATTTTCATTCGTTTGTACACGTTATCAAATGTTCAAGAGATATACATATACACCCATAAAAATACGGAAATTTTGAAAAATGAATACTGATACCAAAATTGTATGATAGCATTTATATTCTTTTTTATAGGACTTTACAAATAGCTACGTGAAAATCGTTTTATTTCACTACTTGAGGCTTAATCTTTCAATTCCAATGTAAAATGGAAATTGTTTTACAGTGTATTTAAATACGAATTATAATTCTTAAAACATTGGTAAAAAAAACTTGTATTATAATTAATTTTCAATTCGACGTATACCATTAGAACTCTTTTATAATCCTGATCCAAAAGACTTAAATCTAACGGGATTTGACTTCAGGTTTGATTAACAAGGTTAATGCAAACATATCTTTTTACAGAATCTTTCAAAACATATCTACAAGTACCATGTCTTTATTTAAAACATTAAACACCACCTTAATTGTGTACATATTAAGTACATTTCTTGTAACACTTTTAATATTTGCTCTTCGGTTGTAACATATCCAAAATTAATGGTGTAAAATATGTTATAATACAATCAGCCCCTGCTCTTCTCATAGATAGAAGAACTTCATTTAAAACATTCTCTAAATTAATTGCACCATTCTGAGCGCCATGATACAACATGGCATATTCTCCTGAAACTTGGTAGACGAACATTGGATACTGTGGATGTGAATCTTTTGTGTGCCTAACTACATCCAAATATGCTAAGCCTGGTTTTACCATGAGCATATCAGCTCCTTCGGCAACATCTCTGGCCTATAAAAGACATGTGGAATATATTATAAACGCAAATGAATTTTTAAAAACAAGATAATAAAATGCTAACAGCAGCTCTAGCAGCTAGTCCATTGCTTCCTGGAGGCAATTGGTAACATTTTCTGTCCCCAAACTTGGGTGCCGATTGCGATGCATCTCTAAAAGGACCATAAAAGCCAGATGCAAATTTGACAGCATAAGATAATACTGCAACTTTGTTTGACAATCCAGCTGAAGCCAATTTCTGTTTTATCGCACCTATTCTTCCATCCATCATGTCCGATGGAGCCACGATTTGCGCTCCTTTATTCATCAATTTCATGAGTGGAAAGTTAATTACATTTAACTCTTTTGCTGTGAAGTGAATGTTCCTTATGAACATTCTTTGCTATATACCAACACCAGCAAAAGAGTTAATGATATAACACATTCATTTAAATTTTAAAGAACAAAATTATTTTACCAGCTTTTGCATATGCAAGGGCAACCTCTGAAATTCTTGAAATACTAGCTTTATTATTTATGCTTCCATCTTCATTCAAGATTCCACAATGACCATGAATAGTGTAAGCACATAAACAAACATCACATGCTATCAATAAATTTGGAAACCATTGCCGTATTAAAGGCACAGCTTGAATAATTGGATTCTTTGAACTATCAGCATTGCTTCCAATATGATCCTATAAAAAGATCAATCTAAATTCACTTATTATCAAACATTTTGTGTACAGTACTTACCTTTTTCAAGTGTTTTGATACTCCGAACAATAATATCGATTGCAGTCCCTTAGAAACCAATGGTTGCAGTATTTTATGCAATTGATTAATGCCATGCCGATAAACGCCTGGCATGCTAGTAATAGGATCTTTAGCATCCTGCTCATCTCTGAAAAATAATGTCTAATAAATATTTTTACATAAACTTCTAACCTAGTTATAAATACATATTCATGCTTTTGTTCTGTCATTAATACATAAAGATTTTAATAATTACTTTCAGCCATTTTTCCTTTACTTGAACATATGTTAATTTCTCAAGTATTAATATTTTGTTTAATTTAATGTTATTTTACTATGAAACTGCATGCTCATCTGATCATGTGTCTATGGGTAGGAATATTTTAAATTTCCCTGCATACCCTATGCATGTATACTTGTGTTACTGCATGATTTGAAGCGGTAGGTTATGAATTGAACTTACGAAATGAAAATCGGATACATAAGATTGCTGACAGTAATCTCCACGTTTGGCGACTGCCATTGTCGAAGAACAGGATGAAAAATACCACTATGAAGAGTATGATTCGCTACAACCTCTGTCATTTTCGGAATTGTTATAAACCGTTATGTACTTGTTCGTATCCGTTTCGCTGTTACATAAAAAAGTAATGTGAAAGTAATGTAAGATTTTCGAAGTTCTTCTTCGGAATTAACTTTAAAACATCATTGTGTATTTTGTTAATTTTACTTTGCTCTTATTCATAATGAATTAAAATCAAAAGAATTTATTACGTCATTTATAAGATAACATCATTTTGTTACCTGTATGTATTTCGATTATTTCTTTTCTATGGTGGTGCCTAAATGAAGTTCACGCGATGCATGTTTGAACTCAACAACTATATTATGTATGTACATGTTTCGTAAAGTTCGTACAGTTTGAATAACGTATCATTAGAAATCATGATTCTGCAAAAAAGAAAAGAGCCACATGCTTTAATAAAAACTATGAAGATAACTGATTGCTAAAAAATTTCCTCAATTTACCTGCTTAGATATTTCATAAAAATAAGTTGAATTAATTTATCATTGTACTGATTGTTAATTGTATACGTTTAACTAAATAAAAATATTTTTTCAAATTATCTCAGAAATCATCTATTTTTCGTTCCTACAGTAACTCTGGAACACCTAATATAGTTTAGTCTGAACATGCCGCAAATAAGGAAAGATACATACAATGTTTACATACGATATTTATTTCATTGACGAAGTATTTATAATTCATTTCTTTCACGCAATTATGCTAAATATAAATAACAAGTTCATAAAAAGACGTGCATAGAGTGAACAAATAGTGGTTATATCAAATCGTTTATATGTTACGATTTATATATTATATCATATAGTGTGTATTAAATCTTGTTGCCATTGTACAGATTTCGAAAATTTGTGAAGAATGACGAGACAGTCAAGTGACTGGCGACAAGAAAACGAAATGTTATCGCTTTCAACCATTTACTATTCTAATGAATTTTCTTATATCAAAGATAGTATGATACAATGTTATTACAATATATTTCCTAAAGTTGAGAATGGTTCATTAAAATTGAAGACAATTAGTACATGCAACAAAATCAAAACTTTTAAATATTTCATCAAATACTTACCCCCTATTAAAGTTTACATTCAACTTCCTCGTGATTATCCTGCCAACAATCCACCAAAGTTTTATGTTATTTCATCATGGCTTTCTTCTTGGCAACTATCTTGTATTTGTCAAAAATTAGATGACATATGGTCAGATAATAAAGGGCAGGAGATATTATTTTTATGGTTTGAATTTTTAAGGAACGAGCTTCTTAATTTTCTTCATATCAAAGATACATTGGATATTTCACTATTGTATTTGATGTATCATAATATATCAAGATATTTTAATTTAAATTGGTCATATCAATATGATGTAAGAGCAGTGTGTAATATATTATTTCTCGAACCACTACAGTTTTTAATAAACTATGACAAACAACAACGCGAAACTATATTTAAACAAAATTTTTTTTCTTGCGACATATGCTTTGATACATATTCTGGAAAAAAATGTGCGGAACTTGAAAATTGTGGCCATATTTTTTGCAGAAAATGTATAGAAGAATACATTACTGTAAAAATGAATGATTTCATTGAACACATTATAATATGCCCTAACTTTGGTTGTAGTAAATTTATTTCTATTAATGACATAAAAAATTTGTGTTCGAATTTATTTTCAAAATATGATAAGAGATTATTA